AAAGAGAGGGAAGGAGTCTTTACATCAAGTTATCAATGCTATCCACTCTATATACAGGGTACATAGGACGGGCACCTTAGATATTGGCTACCTAAAATGAGGGAGCTATGGAGGCATGAAGTGACAGGCTTACGAGATTTCAAGAGGGAGTTTAATTTAAAAGTGTGTGGGGGGAAAAAAAGAGTCCCCACTGAATAGTTTTCATCTTGTCTAGATGGGTCTGGTTAAAAGAGAGGAGGTTAAGATTCTTATGATTTAATAGTGAGCAATAGTTATCACGACTAATTACGACTGTCACAATTGTAAAGGTAGAAGTTTTGTACCAAAAACAGGGGAGTAGTTAATTTTACAGTCCAGAAACAAAGGACCCTTAGGACCATCAAGGGAGAAGAGCACAAGCAGAATATGGGACCTTATCCAGAGCAGCAACAATACCAGAAATGGAGGCAGAGATGGGGACAGGAGACAGGGAACAGCTGAGGACTACAGATTCTTGGGAAGAGAAGGACTAAGAGCTGGAGGCCAGGAAGCATATTTGCAGAAGGTGCCATTTGGTGGCTTAAATTATTATATATGCCTCAGTGTTTAAATTAAAAAGAGCTAAAGTGAATAGAGAGAAATACTATTATCTGATGGTACATGGAGTGATTATAATCATTGTAATGAAACAAGGTGTATGATTTGTTGAATGTAAAACCAATATTCTGGCCTGTAAATTTTCATTTAATTCATAATACAAAATTAAAAAAAAAAAAAAAGAAGTTTCAGTGTATAAAGAAACATTTAATTGACATATATAATCCCACGTATCAATTAAAGTAAATGACAGATTTAATGCAATTTCACGGATGAATTTCAAAGATCCTGTTCAGAAAGAAAACACCATCTCAGAAGAATACATACATTATTATTACACTTACACATAAATATGTGCAGAATCTAACAATTTATTGGGACACATATAATATGTGATAAAACAATTCAGAAAAAGAAATTGAGGATAGTGATTATTTCTGGAGGAGACAGCACCTTGAGAAGGGACACTTGGGGAGTTTGAAGACTACTGTTAATATCTTATTTCTAAAGCTAGTAAATAGAGACTTGGCTACTAATAATTCTTTATACCTTATATGTATATTTTCCACACAGATACATTTTATCACAAAATAGTTGGGAAAAATACAACCAGTATCCCTAAATTCAATAATGCATAATTATAAAAGCCATTTTTTGTTAATTAATTCATTCAAAAGTTACTGAATACTTATTAGTCAGTTTCATTCTAGCATTTGTTTTGAAAACATGACTTTATTCCAGTAAGACTGATTAATCAGTAAACAATTTGACCACAGAAAGGCCAATTTCAGTGAGTTGATGGAGTACATCTTATTGTTGTTGTTGTTGGGTGCCAATGAGTTGGTGCAGACTCACAGCAATCTTATGCACAGCAGAA